ATCCGTGCTGCTGCTGATGTCACACTCAATGAACGAGTCGAGACGCAAGCAGCCAACTGACTGCAGTCACATGTTAATGCACGTCCCATTAGCCTCGCCCCTGGCCTTGCTTGGTCCCGATGCCAGATTTCCGGTGGTATTGCGAGACCAGCCTATCCATCACGGTTTGGTGCTTGGTCACCTCTGAAAAATAGCCAGTGGAAAACCACCTCTACCGTGAGGGCCAAGAGCTGACTCGGCTCTGATGTATCCGTAGAAAATGTGTAGGGCAATGTGGTGTCGAGATGTTAACTATGTTAACTATGTTAACATCTCAGCTGGTATGCAGGAGTCCGTGGGTTCGATCCTGACCCTGACCCCTGTATATTTGGAATTTGCATGTTCTCCCCGTGGTCACGTAGATTTTTATCCGTGTCCTTTGGTTTTCCCTCCTCATTCAGAAACATGTGTTTAGATTATTTGTCTGCTTTGAATGTCCACATGATAAGCCACTTTTTCTGAGATATCATTTGTGGCCAGGTCGCTTCTGAAAAATATCTAAATAGCTCAGTGCGCTTTACCTGGTAAAATAAAAAATATTGAGTTTAATAGTTTTAGTTTAGTATTTATTGCCAATGTTGCCCACTCGTGTTTGAGTCACTGAACCAGCACTGCCCAGATTCTGCGTTGGGATATACATTTCCGAGTTTAGTAAGTTGCTAAATCTCAGCCTGATCATCAATAACTGCAGAAAAAAACCCATCACATTAAATGTTGTTTGTAACTTGATTGGACTTTTGCCAGCTCCGAGAATGGAAATGTTTGGTTTAATTTTACATGTTACACTTTTTAAAAAGTCTATAAAAAGTGCACGCCAAGTACAGATAATAGTAAATACTTTTGGTATTTGCGCCGTTTTAACAGCACAAAGGTTCCTGCAAATGCGCTATGCTGATGCGTTGTGAGCTTTGTGAGCTTCACAAAGCATTCCGTCCACAGTCTAAGACTGCAGAAGCGACTGACAGCGAAAGAGACGATGACAGTGCAACAGAGTTCTTCACTCATTCTCAGAGGGGGGCACTTTCGCTGATACGACGTCAGTGTTGATGGCCGCCACACATTTGAAACCGTTTGTTTTGACAGCACGATGGGGGTTGTTGTCACGTGGTGTGTATTGTCGAGGGCCGCACGTCAGGGGGCCGCACTAAAGGCCACCAGGGGCCCGTCAGTGGCCCGCGGGCCTTGCAACGAAGAACACTGCAATGAAAACATCCATTCCATCAACTTCCAGGGCTGTTCTCTGTCACAAGGTGATGCACTGCTCACAGATGGGCATTTCCCTGACTCTCGACTTGGGGTGCCGTAACCCGAACCGGCACCCTCAAGCATGGAGCGTGTGATGTATGTACTTCTTTGAACTTCTTTCGCACCGTACGTAGTCAACCGTGCGAATCGGGGGTGCGAATACCGAGAGCAGGCATCCAGTAGGAATAGCATCTCACGAACGGCGACTAGGTTTGTGGACTTGGTCTGGCAGCAAGATCTGAAGCAGCCCGAGACCCTTGCTGTGTCACGTGATTACGAGTACAAACAAACATGAGCAGAACTCTGGTCTGTGTCTCCACATACCGGCTGATGGGCTGGTAGATGTATATATTATTGATGTGTCGACAGACTGTGGAGTTCTGCTTTATATTTGGCTTTGTTCCCTCGCAGTTGAGGTAGCCACCGCTTCAAATGTAAATCATTAGCAGTCCTAACGTTCGCCATTGAGGCAGCGTGCATGCAGTTTGCATTACAATTCCCACAGTAGCCGGTGAATTTGCAAGGATTATTGGATTAGATTGTCTCAGATTGGTGGGGAATGCAAAATGCGTGGAGAAACGTTGCCGCTCTCCATGACATCTTGTTGAGGATCTGTTCGGAAATTTTGGAACTGTAAAAAAAAGTGTAGTCATGCCCTTCGCCTGAACATGGAATTGTGTATAAATTACACTTAAAACCACGTAAGAATTCCACGTATTTATAAGCCACGAATTTACAAGCTATGCAATCAGCCCAACTGCATTAAATGCATAAAATGAAATGTTCCGTAAGATATGTATATGGAATGTTTTTTTTTGCATGTTAAGAGGCAGGCTAGAGAGGCCCTATCAGGGCCAGAAGCCTGCCTCTCTCCTCAGTACGGGGGGGGGGGGGGGGTCTACCAACAATTCCGTGGTCCACAGCAGACACAACATTGTGGCCAGACAGGCGATTTGAATTGTTTTTACTCTTGGAAGGTGTTCTTGCGTGTGTGCGTATTAACCCTACGACCTGTTCATCGTCCACTTTGAAAACCTTGGAATAAGAGGAAAACGGCTCAATGAAGCGTCAACAAACGCCCAGAAGCATTCGCGTGGTAGATGCGGGCCCTATTCTAACCCCCCTCGCCTCGGCAGGAGTTCAAAGGTCATTGTCCTAAACCGTGAATCTACATTTCAGCGGTGAAAAATGTAAATAAATTAAAACTCTCTCTTACAAGACGCGTGTGTCCGTTGTCTCCGGGTGAAACGTGGAAAATGTGTTTTTCAGCGATTGAGAAAGGCGTCGATGTATTATTTGATTCGTATTGTGCTGTAGTCGAGGCATAGCTGTTGGGGTGGACGCGGTTTGGCCATACTGCAAAGAAATTATGGTACGGTAGATCTAGAATAAATCATTGTACTTTTTAATTAATATCGTGATGATTGTTTCTTGATTTTTATTTTAACGTTTTATTTCCTGCCAAAAAATGTGAATGAAATAGCAGGCACAATACGTTGCTCTAATTTGTAAACAGTGTATATATCTAATAGTCATTACACGAGTGCTTCGTAAAATGTTTTCCGGAGTAATTATTAAAGGGGTTGTCTGTTACTCAATAGCTACTAATAGTTAACTATTAAAAACACTAAAAGTTCACGAGGAATTATAAAAAAATATTTTTGTCAGGCCCCATCATGTACGTAAAGTGCTGCGTAAATGTGCTAAGAAGAAGGTCCATTGCCCGAAATATCACCTGATATTTTATTTATTTATTTTAAGGCCACAGTGTTGTTGATAAAAGAGTTGAGGTTATAGCCGAATCATGGATGTTAAACTCCTTTTGCACCGCACGTAGCTGTGCAAAAGAAGTTCAATCGGAGCTGCTCATTATATTGTGGCCATTTATATCGCAAACATTTTTTTTTACAAATTGTATCGCGGCAGCACCAGTAGCTCGGCATCATGACTGTTCAGTTCATTATTTATATTGATGTCAGCAAATATTGTTGGGTAAATTGTGCACATATGTGTGTTATGGTCCACAAGATGCCGATCATATGCAGGAGCCATTACGCGCTGAGCATACCTAGAGGGGCCCCACACCGAGAGGCCGAGGGAAAACGCAAGTGAGCGGAAGGGTGGCCAACTGGTTTTGGGAGAAGACACGGACGGATCTGGCCACGACGCCGGTAGCGGAAGGCCCCTGGAGGCACGACAGCGTCACGTGATGGCCACGCGCACGTGATGAGACGCAACGCAGAAGTGCAGCGGTCACCTTCAAGGGGGGCTCCCTTGAGAAGGGGAGGCTTCTTGCTGACGAGAGGAGAGGGTTCGAACTCACTGGCTGTGGCGATTCATGAACCCTTCTCCGCTGGCAACTGAACGCACGTCAGGTGACCGCCAAGTAGTAACACAAGTATGGTGACAGGTTCAGATCCATTTTTCTTTATTATTAATATTATTATTGTCGTCGTCATCATAATTGTAATAATTACTATTAATATTTTAATCGTAACGTGACATTTAACACAGGAACATATTTTAGCAAAACTATTCGAGAGTAATTTGTAAGCATACAGGCACAAACCTTCCCTCCGTTTCTGTCTATATGAGAGCTCGTGTTTAAAATGCACACTTGTACAACAGACAAAGAGCGGATACATTTTTGCTCACTACTATCTTACAATGTAAAAAATATTAATTTGTTTAAGGGATAGAAAACGCCGGCTGTGGCTTCAACGATACACTTCCGAAACCGCACGTCAATCGAGAGTGTAAGTTATGTACAGAGCAGTGAGCGGGGAGCGGTTGTGGTTCACGCACTGCATCATGAACCCGGGTATCGTGAGTTTGATTCCAAGGATCACGGCTCACAGCAGCGGTGGAAGCGATATCTGAGCCAGTCCTTGTCCTTCCCTTCCACCAGCTCACACTGACACATCCCTGTAACGAACGCGCTGCGCCAGTTACGCGTGGATCCTGCGTCTCATGGCAAGATGCCGTGAGCACAATCGGAATAACATTGGACAGAAAGCGAAAACGTGAAGAAGAAAAAAAAATAACACAACACGAGACCAAGTTTGATATTCCATGCAGTGAACGTGTCTCTGTGTAGCGGGATCTGGGGGAGAGTGCAGCGCCTGTAGTGTACGGATAAGAGAGGTGACTCTAAGCGACATCAAAAGTAGTTTTGTGATGTCTCTAACTCTCCCCGGCACATGTAGCCCGTGCGCCAAAGGGGGGTTGATCGGTACCACTTGGGATGGCAAATGCAAAAGGTATTCACCTTGGGCATTATCCATCATACGCAGAGTCCACCGCGAAATCGTGTTCACCATGGCCAGGAAGCTGAATGGACCTGCTGTTCTATGATTCGTATCATATCAAGGCCGTAGCCATGGAGTCAACATTGGGGGGGACCAAATCTTCCAGGGGGTATGGGGATCCCCTCCCAGAAAAAAATCTAAATTTGAAAACGAATTTCCTGCTATTTTCTGCCTAAAATATTATGAAATTAATTAACACATAGGGTGGACTTTTTATTTATTTTTTACAATAATGTCTAATAGTGTATATTATATTCCATTGCTCTGTTTTTTCTTTTTTTACCTTTCCTTCTTTCATTGTATGTAATGGCAGAGATTAGGGTTTAATAAAATACAACCATAACCACAATCATATAAACAGAAATTTATTTTATAGCAATATATTGGGAGGGGGACATTTTGAGCATATTTTTAATATTGGGGGGGGGGGGGTGTGTCTCCCCCCCCCCCCCAATATATATTATAATTACGGCCTTGTATCATATATTACCAAAACAATTTTCTGTAAAAAAAAGTTACTACGGTACCCTTTTTTGATGACCCGTTTTCCTTTTTTTCTTCCGTAAAAGCCACCACGGTGACCGTGCTTACATACGTAATTCCTGGTTCAACTTTGAAGCATGTCACCCTTGCGTGGTGCTGATAAGCCGTGCTTGTTCCAAGGGCCCAAGGGCTACTCGGGGTGATGCACCACACTGCGGGTATGGAATGGGCACTTTGTCGTACGGCACGATGCGGCGCGCACAATTTGGATAAAACTGTTGCGGGAAAAGGCCCCCTCTCCTCGCCCCCCCTCCCCCCATAAAAAAGATATCCAGGGACACGGAGAGAGACGTGAACATATGAATAGAGAAGGGAAGAAACCGATGTGGTCCAGGAGTAAAAGACTCATAGAGATTCACAGAGGGCGTGAAACGGAGGTGACACGTTTTGTTTACTGGTAAAATGGGGCTAGAATATGAAGCTGATACCAGCTTTCCTAGAGGAGTACTACTGCAGCACAGCTTCGGAGCTGCTGGCCACGGTCAACAGCGACCGATTCAATATCCGAGGACATCAAACTGCAGCGGACTTGGGACGAATTTACAATTTTTTTCTTCATCCAAAAAAAATCAGAAAACCGGGCCGAGATGCGAAAATGTGGATGGTCCGAAAACCTGACGTCACAAAGAGTGCCGTCCATTTTATGACGTCACCTCTGCAGCTTTCCCCCCAACAGTGGCGTCACGGGTGATGTAACTTGTTAGCACCAAGACGCGCAAAAATAGTTACATCGTGTAAATGATCCGAAGATCTGGAAAAAGTCCAAAGTTGCCTTTAACAATTCAACATCCGAATTAGTTTTTTAATCCGAAACTAATCTCTATAGGCGAACGATAGCAACTAAAACCCAGCAGGCCTGGGCTAAGTGTGATCCCTACAGCAGGAGTGTCAGGAAGGATTAGGCAGCACCCAATTACTGTCATTCATTTTAAGGTTGCGTTTTGTCATACATCAAATGAGCCCTTCATCCCTCTGGGGGTCAATACACTGTATACCACTTTGTGGCAAGTCACCTGTTGTTATCCTACACAATGACGCACCCCTGCCACAGGTAAAGGCGCAGCCCTGCAATTTTCCTCCGGGCGGAAGGGCCTCCACTCGACGGAACCGTGGAGAACTCCTCAGAGAGGCTGTTTGGCCAACTCTTCAATGCCTGGGGGCAGATGTCTTGAAAGCGGTGTAAGTCACCCACCATTTATCCCAGATCACACAACCTGCTGTGGCGTTCTCTATTTGTACCACCCGGTGGTCAGAGTTGCAAAGGAATTCACGAAACCCGCACCGTTGTTTTCAACCGCCGCGTCGGGAGGTCGAATCGAACCGGCCGCGGCCTCTGGATCGCAAATTCCAGCGCGCTGACCGTTACATCGCGGCAGCCGTGGGGAAAGCGAAACTTCCACCACTGCTTGGAGGGGAGCGAACCCCCACCAATGTGGCACGTGGCGAGTGGCTCGAGTGGCTCGCCACGTGCCACATTGGTGGCGTGCTGTCCGTGCCCCGCACTCGTCCTCACGTCGCGTCACCGGTCTTCAGCACCTCGAGCGTCACGAGGTCCCCGCGGAATATCTGCACGGTCGTACGACTCGACCGTTTACACGTCTCCACGTTCGTCCGTTTGTTATACGACTGCGCGGTCAATGCTCATGTACAGGTACGGCAAGTAAAGGTATAGCTAGCTGTGTGCTTGCTTGTGCAAAAAAAAAAAAACGTAACACGTGCATGAATGTGTCTCAAAATGCATCTCAGCATCGGTGCCCATGGACTTGTTGGATCGAGGACACGTGATCTTGTGCGATTCTCACGAGCAGCTCAGAAGACGTCCCTGCAGGACACTCTGGGTTCACGCGGAACGTTGGGCCAACGTTCCCTTTTACTGGCCCAAACACATGCCAACGTTGGCCCAACGTAACACGTTTCACCGGGCTGTCTGCCAGGGAAACACAAAGCAGGGATATCTTGACATAGCAGCAGCAGCAACATCAGCGGATATTCTATTCAGTTCAAGTAGGTCACAGAGTCTGTTGCTATCGATTCAGCCACAAACAAATCTCTGCCCCCACCCCGTCCCGACCCCCTTTTGGGGGGTAGTGATTTGATTCAAGAATCGATAGGTTTTTTTGTAACGTAGCGATGAATGTAGCACCTCGAGTGGCAACCTGGGTCAAGTGAACCGATCACCGTACTCGCCTACAGGATGCGGCCAAGCCACGTCGTCGCTTTTCTCCTCCTGGCAATTCTCACGGCGGCGACGGCGGCATGGGTCTAAAGACGGGCACACTTGGCTTACTCTTTCTTTTCGAATTAACGACCGCGGGATCCTTTAACATATATCACGAAGCGGGACGGCGCGTAGTATTTTTTGGGCAATGTTAACCAGGGCGGCCACTGAGCTCGATCCAATAAAGCTCCTCGACAAGCGAGAAGCGAGCTACTGCTTGGCCATGCCACCGTCCACATGGGTGTAACCCTTCAAGAGGTGGTGCCCCCCTATGTAACGGATGCGATAATCGTCACTGGGTAATAGTACGTTTTTTTTTTTTAAATGACAGCTTGCTGGGTGGGTTGAACTGCTGACACCACTATGTACGTATGTTGAGCTTCTTCGCACCGTATGTAGCCAAGCGTGTTAATCGGAGGTGCAGGGAAGGACAACAAACTAAAAATCCTAACCCATGCATCAACGCCAGCGCAGAAGACAGTCCAATCTGTTTCTCGATCAGGACCAGTTCGCTTATTGTACTGGTGTCAGTAGCCTACAATGGCGGTATCAATGCTGGTGTCTAGGACGATAAGATGCTAGTGATAAGGATGTGGCAATGCTAGTTTGACGATTATGTAAATAATGATGATGATGTTGATGGCAATCTGGTAACACCCATGCACTGAAGTAATTGCAGTAATGAGCGAATAATGACCTGATGATTGATGTTCATGACAAAGATGATTATTCATTTTTAAGAAAATCACAGTCGAGATGCCAATGACTGATGGTGGAAAAGGGTCATATTTGAATCTGAAATATCTAAAAATCCAGCCTTGAAATTAACTTTCACATGATCCGAATATTTTGTCCATTTCAGATTGATCTGAAAACTGCCAGTGGTGCAACCAACATGACGTCACTTTCGCATGTTTGTGGCATGCGGCAACGCTACCATCGATAGGACTAAGACGCCTTACATTATCATATCGTTGTCATGATCTAAACATGTCCTAAAAAAAATCTCATACGGTTAAATCCCAAACCTCATCCCTACTTTTAACACTGATGGTTTTCAACTTTGACGCAATGAAAGGTGGTAAGGGACACGCGCTTTTAATGGCTTTCGAAGACCAAAAAACTCGTAGACATGTACAGGCACTCACTGACCCACGCGCACGCACACACACGCACGCAAGCATCGCACACACGTAACCGCACATTCACGCGCACGCTCAGATCTCCTTCTGCCCATTGCACGCCGGCTCGGGAGAGTTCATGTCCCACGGCGCGTCTTTCTGGTTGTTGTTGAGGGCTCGCCTCCGCTCGGCGAAGAACGGGTACATGCACTTGTCGGCCCCCACGAAGCGGTAGAATGTGACGATCGCCTCCCACGGCAGAATGCTGCACGGGAGAAACCATCGCGCGGAAACGGGGGGTGGGTGGGTGGGTGGGTGAGGGAGCAGACGGAAGAGTTTCCACGTCAAAAAAAAACGAGAGGTGGCCAGGTGGCTCTGAGGGTGAAGGCACTCAGCAGGCACTGCTGAGGTCCTGGGTGTCAGCTGCCTGTGATTAAACCGAGTTACCAAGTGGAGTACATTAACAGTCTCAGGGGGGCCTCCAATGACTGTGCACAACAACAATAATACCCCCATCTAAACATTGTTTAAATTCCATCTCTGGAAAGGAATTTTTAGCCAGTGGAAAACCACCCGTGTCGTGCTTGCCCCGTGCTGGCACAGCTCAGACATGCAAGTGGAAAAAGGGGTACAAAGAGTGACGGACTGGGACTAAAGATCGGCCTAGGCATTTGTAAACACACCGGCCCAAATTCTGGCTATAGGCAATTGAAAAAAAAAATGTTGTGACAAACTGTCTACTCTTGTCTAGATTTGCGATGTGACACATCAGCGTCATTTTTCTTTTGCATTTTCAATGGACCATTTGCGCCGGGTCCAAAAAACAAATGGACTGGTGGGGAAGAACCTTTGGAGCTGCCGAATATGGGGACTTAGTGCCAACTGGTAGCGTAAATAAGCAATGAAGCGTGCACGTAAGAGGTAATAAAATATTTTAACATAAAATATATTTTGTTTTACTCTTATCATATTTGCAATTTCCCCACACAGACCGGCCCACCGACACTCGGAATGGACCGGCCCACCGACACTCGGAATGGACCGGCCCACCGACACTCGGAATGGACCGGCCCACCGACACTCGGAATGGACCGGCCCACCGACACTCGGAATGGACCGGCCCACCGACACTCGGAATGGACCGGCCCACCGACACACGGAATGGACCGGCCCACCGACACTCGGAATGGACTGGCCCACCGACACTCGGAATGGACCGGCCCACCGACACACGGAAGGGACCGGCCCACCGACACTCGGAATGGACCGGCCCACCGACACTCGGAATGGACCGGCCCACCGACACTCGGAATGGACCGGCCCACCGACACTCGGAATGGACCGGCCCACCGACACTCGGAATGGACCGGCCCACCGAGACTCGGAATGGACCGGCCCACCGACACTCGGAATGGACCGGCCCACCGACACTCGGAATGGACCGGCCCACCGATGCACGGAATGGACCGGCCCACCGAGACTCGGAATGGACCGGCCCACCGACACTCGGAATGGACCGGCCCACCGAGCACATGCCCGGACTGCCCAATGGCCAGTCCGAGCCCGGGTACGAACGTGCATTTGTTTCTTGCCTCCCAACCGCTATGACGCCCCGAAACAATGACCGTGTTTGGGTGCCCTGTGCTGATCGATGGGCCTGCAGCGTCGTCCGCTCACCTCTTCATGAAGACGGTGAGGTACATAAGGCGTGGGATGCAGATCATCGCCTGGTTGGTGAGGATGGCCCTCATCGCCTGGCTCACGCAGAACTCGGGCTTCAAGGGCGGCAGAATGTACGTCTCAATCTCCTTCCTGGTCACGCACACGCGTAGGCAAGGCAACAGAGATAGTTAGTGACTTAAAAATATTTATTGTTTCAAAGGAGGACACGATGAAAGGTAAAATAATATTTTTTTAAAATATAAATTATTGGGCGACACTGCGTTGGCAGTGATGCACAAGCACAGATAATACAACACTTTCATCAATAACACTGTGGCCTTAAAAGGAAACATAGGTAGTAGCATTTCCGGCAATGGCCCTGCTACTTGCCTCACGAATCCATGCGCTATAAAGAAGGTCCATTAGTCATAATGTCGCCTATGATATACTTTCCTTTAGAGCACATCAATTACACACACAAGATGACAAGGAAAGCCCCGCATAGCCTTCACGAATCGTTGGGGCAAACGCTGCGAGCGAGCACCTATGAAGGCCGACACAACACACGATTGGGCTGTGTGACTAGCACCACGGACACCATCGTCTCCCCCGTGCTGATGTTCACACACTCCACCAGGTACAATTTAAGGCTGAGTCGACCTGGGCGAGGCCCAGGACCGGTTTAGATATCCGACTGGACACCTGAGAAAACGAGTTTCATAGCTCATCGGATCCCTCCAATATGAATAATAAATATTATGATTCTGATCCGTCACCAATGTTGGCCTTTAGCGGGAATTGAGCTCAATTCGCCGAGTTCGTATCGCAGTGCACTTAACCGCTGCACCACCGCTCCCCAAGCACGCGCGCATACACACCACTCTTCCCATCCGTATGCAAAGCTGATTAAAGTCACGCTGAACTTGGCCAACATTGGATAAGATGAGACATTCCCCTGTGTGTGTGTGGTGTGTGTGTGTGGCTCCTGTATCCCGGGCCAGGGCGGCCGTGGGAGCGAGAGCTGCGCCCCTTGGGTCCAGCCATGGGTGGGCGGGTGGGTTGGGTGAGGAGTGGGGGATGGGAGCGAGGGGATCGCGAGAATGCAGCGAGTCAGAGTTAGACGGACAGAGCTGTTGCTCTGCTCTGTGTTCAACCATCTGCCCTTCCACCACCAACCCCTCCCCATTCTTCTCTGTCTCCATGTGGATAGCAACTCACGCTGCTACCCAGCCACTACCGCCACGCACACTCACTGGCACGCACGCACGTACTCAGACATACACACCCACGCACACACTCAGATATACAAATATGTAATCTTGCAAATGCTCAGACACACGTGGGCATACGTGCACACTCGCACATCTTTGAACACGCATGCAGTCGGACACACGCAGGCAGGCGCACCACACACACACGTGTCAACGCTAACACGTACATGCTCAGACAAAGATTCCCCGCGTAGCCTTAACAGACTCTTGGGGAAAGTGCTGTTGGCGAGCACCTATGGAGGCCGGCACGGCACACGAGGGTGTGGGTGGCCATCACCACGCCCGGCCGCCTTTGTCTCCCCAGTGGCGATGTTTAAACACCACAGCAGGTGCTCTTTTGAGACTGAGTAGACCTAGGGGAGGCCCAGGACCAGTTCAGATACGGTAATCGTCATTGGTCTTGGCCATAAGCGGGAAATAGAACTCGGGTCGTCGGGTTCATAGCGCAGCGCGATAACCGCTGAAATTCGTACTAACCGCTGTACTTCGTGTCCAGAGGCACACACGCACGCGTTCACTCACTCATGCTCAGAGTGAGCAGCTCGCAATCGGAAGGTTGCGAGTTCAAATCCTGGTTCAGGGGTTGACTCAACCCACCATCCCTTCGGTGATGACCGAATTAGTACCACTGCAGGTAATTCGACAGTAGTTGTATTATTGATAGACTCTCTTCTGCCACAGATATGTGGAATTTCCACCACTGGCTCTGGGCTGTGTTGATCTCTGCAAATCGATTATTGATGATTGAAGTAAATCACACGCGAGTTCTTTGCTAAAGGTGAAAACTCAGCTAACGGCACGAACAAAACTCTACAGGGGACGGAACAAAACGGGAAACAATGCAAACAACGTGGCAAAAATTAGTCTAAATGGTTTAATTCTGGTTTGAAGCGTGGAAATTAATTAAATTGGTGGAATGAGCATTGGACAGGGGTGGAATGGTTACACTCAGTGCTTTGATTTCATTCGGAGCTGTCTGGGGCTGAGCTCCAGAATGTATCTCCCATCCCCCTGCCTCCTCCTGGTTATACTTCTACTGCAGAACCATTTGGCACTATGAATGATCAATCGATTGAAGTTTCAAACTCGAGAGAGGTGGCCGATGGGGCGACTTCTTGGAGGTGCGTTCTGCTCACGAACAGCATAGACATCTCTGCACGTCCTTTGGAACTTTGCAAAATGCAATAGCATGCATTTAGGCCGCCGAATGAGGTTTACGTCAAAATAACGGATGCGTGACGGATTCCATCCCAAATCACAGTTTTAATAGGGATACCGCTTTATATATACAAAAAAAAAACTAAATCAGTGTAAAAAATAAAAGGTAAGAGTGGCACTAAATAAAACTAGCACCACTTGTGGCACGTTCCCCTGTGGTTGTCTCCACAGAACGACTCTGGTAGAGGCGCAGCCCTGCAATGTCTTGCTGGCGGTGTGAGTACCCACATTTTACCCCACCCCAGCGGTAACTTCCCCGCAGTCGATTCAGTGTGGCATGCCCCTTTTGGTAGTGTCGAGGCAACAAAGGTAACGACGGGGGGGGGGGGTGATGTAGGAAACTTTAAGATTGTTTTAATTGCCGCGCCGGGAGAACAAATCAAAGCAGCGAACCTCTGGATTGCAAGTCCACTTCGCTCACCATTTTACTATGGCGGCATATGTATCTTTACATTATTTCAATTCAGAAACTCCCAAGCAAACACGGGACTGGACTGAGCTCACCCACGACACCACGGCAGTGTGTCCCGAGGACGACAGCGATTCCTCCCGTGCAAATAAATTTTCTGGCAACAAAACAGTTGCGTTAAGATGTTAAAACACCAAACTGAAACCTTTTAACAAGGAATCATGTCTGCATTAACCACAATTACATGTGGTCAGAATGCAAACAAAAAAACACACTCTGATTATAAAGGCATTGTCTTTGAAACTGACTGGTCCACACCAGAGACGGCTTTCTTTAGAGCCTCGTCTCAAAAGGTGTTAGACCAGAGGACGCCAAAAGGCGTCACACAGCACAAAGACAATGCCACTATCAGAGTAATGAGGGCTCGGGGTGAGCAGCTACATCACGGGACCTCCATTGCCAGTACCAAAATACGATAATAGGTTTTACCCTTTTTTCCGGCACCGAGCTATGGATTTCTCCTAACTTCTTGCCGGAAAAAACCCGGCGACACGGAGTGAGAGTGAGAGAGACGCGGGACGCCCGTCCTGTGCGAGTGAGCGGGACGTCAAGGGGTGCCCCTATTTCATCGGCGTAATTGGACTTTCCTTCGATGTCAGCCCGATGCTTTTCGGGTCAGAGAGCGCGCAATTCCGCCAGCAACGATCGCCCCGAACGCTTGTCTGGCCACGCGCCAGCAAATTCCTCGCGGAAATATTTGCGACGGTGCGCACACCCCACCCACCCACCCCACTCTCTGATCTTTAAATTACGGTGTGTCCGTTCGGGGGGGGGGGGGGGGGCAGGATTATTATTATAATATTTTTTGTGCGCGTGTAATAAGTGCGGGCAATAAATTCAAAGGGAGTCGAGTCGCGGTGCCACGTTTGACGAGCGTGGCCGATTATAAAGGAGGGCTTTATTTCGGAATTAGCGGGGCTCTTTCGGTTTTTATTATTAAAGGTCGCGCGGTTATGCGCTTACGAGGTGAAAAAGGAAACGTTTCGAGCATTCTCTGCAGTGGGGCCGAGGTGGTAAACTTGCAAAACCAATATGGCCTGAGAATTTGCTCGTTTGATTGCTTGCTTGTGGGGGCACTTTTTTCTTCCCATGACTGGTTTTCTGTTTTTTTTATTCTTCACATGGTTTGTGGAAGTAATGACTTTGCTCTGAAACGAAAATGCATTCCGCTGGCAGCACCACTTTAGAGGTTTATGGACCCACCGATGCTCAATAAAACAGGGAGGTCCTGGACAAACCCGATACCCCATGTATGCATTTTAAAACTATTTGTCGGAAGCTGTCACCGCCACCGCTGCTTTGGCAGCGGTGACAACAACGAAACGCACCGCGTTCGTCAGTAGCGCTGTGTGTGGGCTTAAACATCTTGGCGACGTTTCATGCAATGGCCCTACCGACGTCTTCTGCACAGCCCAGAGAGAGGCCAGGGACGTGGGGGGTCTCTCTCTCTCGAGTGGTGTTCTTCACTGCAAGGCCCGCGGGCCGCTGGCAGCCCCTGGTGGCCTTTAGTGCGGCCCTGGACAATACACAAATCGTGAAGACACCCCTTGTGGCGGCCCTCACGCTGCTGATGTCGCATCGGCGAAAGTGGTCCCCGCCTCTGGAAGTTATCGAAGAACACTGCCCTAGAGTCTCTCTCTACCTTTCTGATATTGAGTTGTTGTATTTGTCTTTTATTTAAAAAGATAATCACGCTAACCTCATTGGAACACTATACCAGCCACTTTTTAAGTTCGTTTTATTGTATCGTTAGGCCACGTATGGCGGTGTAATAAACGTAATCATTCACTAGCTCCATCCACCGACAGCAGACGCCAACCCGCCTTGGGACGATTAACTTCTGTGGGTTATCAGAGTTGAATCAAGACACCTGTAAAGTAATAACTTCCTGTTTTTTGTTCGTTTTTAGCTCTGGTGAATAATTACTTTATTGACTCCCAACTACTAAAAAAAATGAATACGAAATTAAATAACTGTTCAGCCATGTTGTCAATCCATTGCTGGACGAAGGCCATTCGCCGTGTCACGTCGGTCATGGGGGTTATTTGACCATACTTCACCACACTCATCAAGGCGGTGGGTGCCCAAGGCCGGGGCAGACGTCGCTCATGAACAATGTTGGCAGTGGCCAGGAACTGGACTCTGGTTGCCAGGTTCATATCGTGGTGTGTTAACCACTGCGCCACCCGTTT